TGTCTTAATTGAAAAGGTTTCAGAAAATTTGGACTTAGAAGAAAAAATTATTCGAGAAAATTATTTAATTAATCGATAAAATGAAATCATATTAATCGAATTAAACTCGTTTATACAACTTGATAAAACATGTGAAACCTTTACAATTAATCGAGACAAAAAAACAAATATAGCTGACTTGAATAATATACAAATTATTGGAAAAAGCCAAAAAAAGAAATTTAATCAAACTTGTAAAATGAAATAATAAAAAATGTTCAAAAACTTGAACATTAAAAACTTCAAAACTGTTATAAAGCTGATTGTTGTCCTTTAGAAATTGAGTTAAATAATTTTTACAACTTGAATCGAATAATAAACTTGTAAACAAAATTTAATTTTGTGTAATCATTCAAGTCAACTGTTTGAAACTTTGATTGTATGTCTTGATCAAAATTGTTTTTAGCAATAAAAGAATAAAAATCTATCATTTAGCTATGCAGCGATATAATTGAATAAATTTAAAATAAAACTACAGCGAGACTTTTAAAGCTGCTAATCTAATTAACAATTTTTTAAGTCGTATTAAATATTTGAAAGATTTTGATCAAAACCACACAATCGTGTTATCCATAAATAAGAATGTTCATGCAGTCAATATCGCTTGGGGAAAACACATGATTCTTGATACTGGAAATGTCAAATACAAATACAAATATTTTTTCTGTATAATAATGAACAAGAAGTGTAATAAGAAAGAGATTTTTGTAACTTGTAATTTGTAACAAAATAACATCAATTTAGGAGTTACCTAAGGTAAGGTGATAGGCCCCCTTCAACAAATAAGTAATCGAAGCATACACAAAGCTATATTGGTTTACTTATCATTTAGCAACAAAAATTTAATATATAAGAATTCTGAATTCCACACAAGATAGTGTTATTTATAGAATAAAAGAATTTCTGAACGTATTTCTGATTTCTGAGAAGTACAAACTTTTTTCTTTTATATTGATTTAAAACATTCATAAAACCAAATCATAGTTTTATTGAAGATGACAAACAATATTGTATCGAAATGAAAATTTATAAATCAAATCTCAAAATAAATTATTTGATGTAAATGCTTTACATTAAGAAAAACTTAATGCATATATATATATATATATATATATATATATATATATATATTAGGGTGGTCCTTAAAATTGTCATTTTCGAATTTCCTTGCTCCCAGGGGCTCAAATGGTTCCAAATAGATAAAAAAACAATTCTCTGAAAGTTTTAGCTCTTAATATTAACGTTTAGATAGAGCGCAATTCAATCAAACTTCGTATGGAAAGAGCATGGAAAAAATTTTGAAAATTGAAAAAAAATGTTTTAGACATAACTTAGCGACAAATGAAAGAGTTTTATTTATTGATTTGTTTGTTAAATTACATCTAAAATACATTTTTTAAATTTTTGAAAATTTTCCCATGCTATTTCCATACAAAACTTTGATTGAATTGCGCTCTATCTAAACGTTAATATTAAGAGCTAAAACTTTCAGAGATTTGTTTTTTATCTATTTGGAAGCATTTGAGCCCCTGGGAGCAAAGAAATTCGAAAATGACCATTTTAAGGACCACCCTAATATATATATATATATATATATATATATATATATATAAGTTAAATATTGAATATTTAAAACGCTATAGATGCAACAGATATGGTACTATAAATGCCTGTATATATTTCCAAAAGAATATTCTTTGACTCGCTACGTATAAAACATGCTTTGCACTTACATTGTTAGAAATCCTTTGCAGCATCTGTCAGAACACAAATCCAGGACTTCAAGCACCACTGGAGCATCTTCCAGAAATCTCAAGTACTCGACACAAAATCACTACTTTAGAACCACTACATAACTTTAGTCTTTTACAAGTTTATTTGACATGGTGAAATTGTCCGAGTAAAGTCTTTGCACAATACACCACACACGACTTATATTAGAGACTTTCGTGAATTTAGAATTTGATAATAACAGATATGAGGTGGAAGTACCTACAAGTATAACCCACAAAAGCACATATATAAATTATACTATTGATAATTGCATGTATATAATTAAAGGATACATTGACACTGTAAATGAATTGTTTAAATATAAAATTGATTCAAAATTGAGATACTTATCAAGCTAATCAAGGTACACCTGAATAATGTATATAATTAAAGGATACATTGACGCTGTAAATGAATTGTTTAATTATAAAACTGAGACACTTATCAAGCTATTCAAAGTACACCTAGGCATTTCCACACATATCCATTTTTTCGGCTTTTAATTAACGTTTCACGATAAATTTATTATAGCAAATTGATCTACTAAATTAATTACACTTTTGATGCATAAATTAATTAAATCTAATCAAGGATTTAATTAAAAAATCATAATTAACGCTACCGCGAAAATCTATTTGACAATTGATGCATTTGAAGTTAACAACATGTGTCAAAATAGTCATTAGTATAATTTAGAGCGCGAAATTCAAACTTTAAATTTAAACTTTGTAAAATTCACTTATATTCGCCAAAAGTGAATAGATTTGTTTGTAAAGTATAGCAATCCTAAAACTATTCAAATCACACGAAATCTAAAGACTATTGTGTATACTTTGCTTTTTACCGTTTACATTCAAATCTACAGTTTTTGGGGAAAAAAACTTATCTATCACATATCCAAAAACTATACTTGTACTTATTCAACAAGATATAAATACCACAACGTTAGTCGTACTGCTGAATTCCGTTTTTTGGCTGGAGGTATGATTCGAACTCAGTACTCTTTTCGTACAAAGCCATCAGTCTACCAATTACGTCAACACATGCCATACAAATCCAACTTTTTTTTGGCCATATGACCAAATACAATTTTGCATATTAAAATATACAATATCACCTACTTTGTAACGGTTTTCTATCACAGTATTTAATAATACAATTATATTTATTTATTATTACAATTATAATAATGAAAATGAATAAATTACATTATCAATTATGTAATAGTATATTATATATTTAAGTATATATAATAGTACTAACACAGCATGATATGAAATTAAGTTATATTCACAGCTAAGAAAAGAACATCATTTAAAGGAGTAATAGAAAACACAATATTTAAGTAATTCAGAGAAGTCATCTGTTGTAAAAAATATATAACTTATCATCAGTACAGCATAACATAAAATTTAGTAAAACTTGTACTTTTCAAATCAACCAACATTTTTTCTTCAATATTTTTTTTATGTCAAAATGATCGCTAGTCGACTAGAGACCAAAGTCGGATCCAAAAAAGCCCAGATGAGACGACTCAATCAGATTCTGCTCCTGGGCAGAAGCAATTGATTGCTCATTGCTCATTTGAACAAAATGAAACCAATTTGAATCAAAATGTAACAATTATACATTAATTAATATTATTATTGTATCACTCTTTGAAATAAATAGTTAGGTACGGTGCAAATAATTAATTATTAGTAGCTACGAACTGTAAGTAAATATTATTATAATATAAACTAAATATATACATAAATAATATTATATATACGAGGTGTGTTCAAAAAGTACCCGGAATTACTAATAATTAAATTTCGCGGGTCTGGAGTGTCTGATTGTCAAAATTTTTTTTTTATTGTGTTGGTATACATGCCCCTAAAGTATGATGAAATTTTCAGCTATATTCACTGTTTACTTTGTCTGTGGTAGTCGCTAAGGTTCGACGTGTTTTTCTGAGCTCGGCGATTTTTACAATGGAAGAATTGAAAAAGTCAAAGAATTTGTATTAAATTTTGCGTAAAAAATGAAATAAAGTGTTGCAAAGTGCAAAAATTCACCAGATATGGCTCCGTGTGACTTTTTCCTATTCCCAAAGTTGAAGAGACCCATGAAAGGACGGCGGTTTTCCTCGATTGAAGAAAATCGCTGAGAGTGCTCAAGGACATATCAAAAAGTGAATATCAAGGGTGCTTCGAAAATTGGAAAAAACGCTGGCATAAGTGTATTATATCTGGGGGGGACTACTTTGAAGGGGACCACATTAATGTAGACGAATAAATAAATATTTTTTTGAAAAAACGAAAATTACGAAAACTTTTTGAACAGACCTCGTATATATATATATATATATATATATATATATATAAATATTTTTATTTATTTATATTTCTAGAGCAAAGATTACTTGCACTTACAATTAGATTAAGGTAAATAATTTAAACACTTCTCATAATTGGATCCCAACAATAAATAAATCAAAATTTCAGAAGCTATCAAATCTCTTTCACTAATTCCAAAAACAAAAGCGAGAAAAATAATTATATTCATATCAAAAACAAAAAATATATATTTAAAAATCATTTGTAAAATTAATGTCTACAATAATCTTCTCAATTAACTCAGTTTATATTTTTTTTCGAATAATATTAATTAACAATTAAGTTACTCTTTTGTTTCTGTTAATCTTTTCTACGACTAGTGTTGATATTCATTTAAATGTTGAACAAAATTTCATTATCATCATTAACATAAAGAAAAGGAAATTATTAATAGTAATGTACAAGTACTTAATAGTTGTCTTATGGCATCTACAATAACACATTTCAACTGGTATACAGAAAATATTAAAAAAATGCCATCCTTAAAAAAACAAAAAAAAAACTTGCAAAGTAATATAATCATAACTAAAAGGTTTTAAAAAATCCATATAATATTAAATATAAATTCCTTCTCTTAACAATTATTTTCTTAACTGAAAAAAGTTTTAGGGTCACAATAATTAAAAACAATTGAATTCAATCTGATACCATAGAAAAAATGGAAGACTAAACGATTTAAATCAACTAATCACAATTTAATACTTTCAAAACAATTCACATGTATATACAAATTTTTACACACACATATATTTAATAACTATAAATAATAAATATAATAATAACTTTGATAATCTATTCAGACCTACATAGTTAATAATATGTAAACATATAAAAATTATATATAATTTCCTTGAATCTACACAACACATTGTATTTCATTAAACATAATGTTCTTCATCAGTTTGTTTAAAAAACCTGAAAAAAAAACATTCACTCTTAATTTATACCGGATGCAAAATTGTGATAATGTGGCCTTTTGGCATAGACATTGCACTACATGGACTGCTAGTCCTCATATGTTTTCCATTGTATATAGAAGGGACAGTAACGTCGCATGCCATATGTCATATGTTACGTGTCTAACATAAGCCTTACAATATATAAACCTAATTTAACAGGTGGATTCGATTTGATGTACATTAATAATATTATTAATAGATGACCCGACAGACGTTATCCTGTACCCATGTCTACAATTTTTTAATATAATATACTAATATTTACTGTTTACCTAAAAATAATAATTATTGCTTTTTAAATTACTCTTCACACCAAAACGCATATACATTCTACAATATAAGCGATGTTAAATATAAAACTGCTTCAAATAAAATGATGAGTCTCAGTTATCACACTATATTGGAAATTGAAGTCTCTAAATGGTATAACATAACTATAACCATAACATAACGCTGGTACTTCATGTTGGATTAAAATAATTTAATTTTTTATTACTTAAGATATCCAAAATTGCATCTTAAACTTCTCCTAATCGATATCGTGAGGGCCGAATTGTATGTATTCATCTTTACTTTCCCATTTGTTGTTATGAAGTGAATTTTTTACGAATTTTAAAAATATTGTGGAAAGATTAGTAAAAGTTGCAAAGAAATTATATATTGAAAAAAACTATATTGAAGGTTTAATATCCAAATTTTGTGTTGGCGCCCCCTAAGGCGTGCATCGCATTAAAGGTAGGACCGGCCCTGATTAATATTTAATTTCATATTTTAAGTGAATTAATTTGTCATATCTTGTTCATATGTGTATCATTCAATCTGCCATACATATATTGTATTTTATATTATTTTAATTTCTGGCACATCTCAGCTGCTTTTCGACAATAATAATGTAAACATTTCATTTTTCTTATTCAAAATCATGAATTTATTATACATATTCTAATATTGTCTAGGTTCATAAGTAAATTGAAATTTTTGGCAGATTATAGTTTTCATTTATTTTCAGTGCAAACAATGACATGTCATTTTTTGCATTTTTTTTAAATTTATTTCTACAATATTGCACATACATCCCAGTACTTTATAATCACATACATCCTAGAAAATTTCCTTAACAAACTTCAGAAAGATTTATCAAAATCCGCATAATCGTTTAGAAGGAGTATACAGTGAGTGCTTGTAATTTAATATGAACTTTATATAATAGCAATAAAGCTCAAATTAATTGTACATATTAGTTAGAAAACGTTTGTGCGAGAAAAAGAAAAGGCTGTTTTTAGGGTTTTCCCGGCAATCATTCGATTTTTTCTCGCCGCAAGAACCATCGTTGGACATCAACAAACATTTCAAAAAAATAATTGGCCAAATTGGTCCAGGCGTTGTCGAGTTATGCGCTTACCAACACATCTTGAGATTCATTTTTATATACAAGACAAGATATAATTTCTTACAAAATTATCAGCCATCACAATTGCCATTATGTTATTAAAATAAAATATATGACATATGACATTTAATCAATCGGGAGAGTCCGCGATTATCGTCGGCAACGTTCGCTCAGACATGTGTGGCGTCACAGTCCCTTCTATGTTTGCGCTCAACTCGCTGTCCATGTAGTATAAGATCTATGCCTTTAGGTAATTAAGAAGTTTTAAATATAATAAAATAAACTCACATAGTAATAATCCTGAAACACATTTAACTCCCGGTATTACCATTTATCAATTCAAATTCATCCTGTTCTATCGGCTTTCCAAGCCATGAACCTAGATCCGATTCCTTGAAAGATTTGTTAAGCATTTGTTTGGCCATCTGATGAAGAAAAAAATTAATGAGACATAATTAGTAAGTAAATACAATAAAAATAAAAAATAACAAATTCCTGAATTTCAATTTTTCTTTATGAAAATCCATGGACTATTGTCCATGATTTTAAATAGTAACAATAATTATTAATTAATTGCAATAGCTCAATTTGGATGTTGAAAACATCTTCTAACTAGTGGCGCATGGCATCGTGCCTTAAGGCAAATTGCTGGAACGTCCCGTACCGTAATTAAACATTCGAGGAATAAAAATGATCAATAATGTTTTGAATAATTTCAAATAAATTCTTTATTACACTGTAAATTATTATTTATTTATTTATTTATACTTATTTATATTTATACTTATACTTATTCATTATACTTTGTGCTTTTTAAATTGGGCATCAAGGGCATTTTTTTTTTTTAATTTGATTTTTTTGATAATTTAGATTTTTTTTTAGAAGTTTGAAACTTTTTCGAATTTAACAAAGTCGAAATATTCTCAAATTTTTTAATTTTTCAAAATTTAGTTTTTTTTTTTAATGAAAAATTTCGAAAATTTGAATTTTTCTGAAAATTATGTTTTTTTTTTTTAATTTTCAAAATTATTAAATTTTCTGTAAAAGCATCTTTTGCGTCTACTCCGTCTACTCAAACAAAATGTTTTTTGAATTAATCTAATCGGATGATCCGTTCTCTTAAAAAGTGCATAACCATTTTTACACTTTTTGCGCTCCATACCTCCGAAACGACAAAATTGCCTTTTGCAAAAACGTCTCCTGATCGAGTACGAACCGAATGATTTTTTTAATTTTATAAATCGGTTATTCCATACTGTCAAAAATGTCGAGAACATTTATCTGAACCATATAAATAAACTTCAAAATTAAAAATCTTGGTACGGATTCCAAAAAAATTTACACAAAATGTGTACACAACATTAAAATCGACATAAAATATCTCATAATTTCATGTACATATGGCCAATAAACATTTTTGACCGCCAAATGGCACTTTTTTAACTTATTTTTATGGAGAGTCCATAACCCCTGGACCTGCCTTCCCAAAAATTTTACCAGTTGTTCATTTTATCGATACAAGTAAAATGTTTTTTGAATTATTCAAATCGGACGCTCCGTTCTCTTAAAAACTGAGTTACCATTTTTGGCACTTTTTGCCCCGTATCTTCGGAACGGCCAGACCTGCCTTCGCCAAAAACTAATCAGCACGTCACCTTATCAATATCAATCGAATGTTTTTTTTAATTATTCAAATCGCTTCATCCGTGTTCGCGAAATCGTCGACGAAAATTTGTATCCACACACACACACATACATCCATTTTTTTCTTAGGTATGCCAAAATATCTAGAAACCTTTGAAACGTAAATATATATAAAAATGTTCATTTTCGATTTTTTGCTATTACTATAACTTGCCCTACGGGAAGATAATTAAATAATAATACAATATGGTATGACCTGATAATCAGATGCTGTAGCCTTAGCATCGGCATAGACAATAGGAATCTCCATATTTGGATGTAATAACTTCATTAATTTTATGTATCTTTTGAAGAATGTTGCTTTGCATATTCTTGAATTTTCTCCGGTCAAAGTCTTCCCATTTAGAGAATCCACTATTTCTATTTCCTACAAAGAAAAACAAAAATATGATAATTAGAAATACTAAAAACAATCATGTGACTAGCTAGATAATCATCAGGCTAGGATTATAGCCGAAACGGATGGATTTAAAATAAATGTTTGGAAGAAATTCATGTTTTCTATTGATGTTATGCCCTATTACTAAACTTTGTTAATATATATATATATATATATATATATATATATATATATATACTCGTATATATCTATATATATAAAAATAAGTCGGGTTTTCCTTCCTGACGAAATAATTCCAGAACGCACGAACCGATTTCGACAATTTAGCATTCGTTGGTAAGTTCTCGGGCTTCGCAAGGTTTATAGCTAAGAAAATTAGTGGTGCATGGCATCGTGCTCTAATGCATATTGCTGGAACTTCACGCACCATAATTGAAAATTTGAGTAATGACATTAGTGAGAATTATCAGAATTATGCTTGGTTAAGTCAACGAGCAATTCTTGCCAAAGAATAATGATGTACACGCCCTGAATTTCACCATTCAATGAAAAATTGCTGGCGATTTGGTGACATACCAATGATTCCGACTGGTCTTCCGTTTGACTTCAAACGATTGCAATAACCAGTTCGCATTGCGTTCGCAATAACATGTCGCAAGGCCAATCGCTTAGTGTTTGCGGGATGAATTTCAAATAGATTATTTAGAAAATCATTGTTTTTCACATGGACAGTTATATGTTGCCTGTTCACAAGTTGGGAAACCATCCACTTTGTTTGTGTTAACGTCAGACCAAAAAACAAAAAATGTGGTTTACCAAAGATCACTTCCATGAAAGGGATAATTTGCGGATTCACTTTCATTTACTTAGAGAAGTTCAACTAAAAAACACTTCATTTTTGTAATCGTTGTAATAAATTCATTACTGTTGTATAATAAAATCAAATTTTTCCTTTTCAAATATAAAACAAACAAACAAATTCTTCATCTTTCTCACGAAACCATCTGGTGGCGAAACGAAGTTCGTCGGGTTTGCTAGTATATATATACAAATTAATTTACTTAATGCTTACATTTGTTCCTTTTGTCCAATTAACACTAAACGATGGCGGCTTGATGGGATTTCTGGCCTCAGCGCAAGTGAGAAGAGCCAATTTAGGTTTATTCAAACGATACGGGTGTGGGAGACCCATAAGATTTGTTTCTGCTCTTCCACAAACAGCCCTACAATAAACAAAATATATAAAAATTAAAGATGCATAGTATATTGTCTGGGGTAATTTTAGAAAAAGAACTTGTGACAATAAGTTATAGATTATTGCAGCAGATAAATTTCTATTTATCAATCATTTATAATCAATAAAAAAAAACTGGATTAAAGCCCGGTGCACACGACGCCAGTGTTTCTTGTAACAGGATTTCTGTCAAGTCTTCTTGTAAGGTGAGCAAGAATTTTGCGCCAGGATAATAATTTTGTGCATTTTCAAATATACACTGTGAATTCCACAATTCATATTTTATAGGCCTAAAATGCACTAATAAGTGTACAAACAGAGCATTGTATGAAATGTAAACAATAAACATATGTAGTATCTGATTAGGATGAATCCATAAGATGATTGAAACTCATGTTTCTAAGAATTAAATAAAATAATAATAATCGAAAGATAATAAAATGCTGCAGTTTAATGTAACAATTATTGATTTTTAAAATTAGTATCCTTATTGGAGTATTAATATTGCCATAAAAATATTAAAATGAAAAGTTATGAAAAGTTTTATGTAAATTTAAGTAAGGTTTGTCACTTAGCATTATCAAAGATTTCCTGTCAGAAAGACAAGTAAGAACCATGGTTGATAGCGTGGTAAGTGACAGACGCAAAGTAAACTGTGGAGTCCCACAAGGCTTAGTTCTAAGACCTTTATAGTATCTCATCTATACAAACAATCTTCAAGAGAGAAAATTAATGGGAAAATACATTCTATACGCCGACGATACTGCCATAGTCTATGATGCAGACAAAGACGAAAAAATATTAGACGAAATTATTAACAAAGACATGAAATTATCTTCTGAATGGCTAATTGAAAATAAAATAACGATCAACATTGAAAAAACTAAGTATATACGTTTTAAACAAAAAAAAATGTAAGGAATTTACTAAAATAAACAGATATAAAAATAATACAGATATACAAGAAGTGGAATATATAAAATACTTGGGCCTTATAATACACGAACAGCTAACATAAACAAAACATAAATGAAATTAAAAAGAAGATAGCGGCATTAACAGGAGCTTTAAAAAGGATCCATTCATTCGGGAAAAAAAAAATAAGATATTGATTTTAAAAGCGCATATAATACCCATAATTTTATATGGAATAGATACTTGGAGTCCAAAAACTAAAGCTAACTCAAATGATATACAGAGAATAATGAACAAAGCCATAAAAGTATCATGCAATTAATATATAAACATCTATACATATTATGCATTAATACATAATACATATATAAATATTTCGGGCAAGATCAAAAATCATGATTTATCATAACGTTGCTAGGTAACAAACTGTCCGGCATGCACTAATCAGGAAATCTGGCGCCAATAATTTATATAAGTTAATATTTGATAGTTTGATAGTTTGTTTTTAAAAATTTATTACCTATGCATATGTACAGGATGCAGTAAACTTCCCAGAATGACACTGTGCAAGTATACAGGCTCCACAAGATTTGACAAGAGCGCACCTTGAAGCCCCACGACATTCCATCTGCACAATTTATCCGAGCAGGACATTGTCAGAAGACGATTTCCTTGAATCACTCCGTCCCATGTTTGAATACCATCACTGTTACTGACGGGAATTGGGCCTTCACCTGATTCAATCTTTGTTCGCAGCTGACCTCTGGCATGTCTGTAAAAGATGAATACTAGAAACTTGGTGAAAATCGTTTTGCCATAAAAAATATTACGTCGACAGTAAATAATTAAATAGTTCATTAAAAAACAATTGCTTTCATTACTTTTTGGATTCTTTGTTTGAAGCTCTACAATATATATATTAAATGGTAGAGTGTATATATATAAATATCATATATATATATATAATATATATATATATAAATTATTCACCTGTTTGGATGTTTATCCATTGCACCGGCATGAACCTCTCCATGCGGACTGAATATCCTAGCATCCCCACAAGGGGCTGTACTTATGTACAGGTGGAATTTTAAACCGTCTTTGAGCTGAAACTTTTTGCTGGGATGATCTCGAATGAATATAGATTGTGCAGCAGTTTCCTCTGAATTGTGCATTTCAAGTTGAGTGTACATGAAATCAATGAGGCATCTGAAAAGTAATTTATTTTATATATATATATATATATATATATATATCTTATATATAAAAATGGAGCTCTCTTTCGAATGTCATAGTAAAACTCGAAAACGGCTAAACCGATTTGGCCAGTCTTACTCTTGAAAAATTCGTGCCAATCCAGAGAAAGTCCAAAAGGTGAGAAATTATTTCAAATCCGCGCAGAAACTTTACATTTTTAATTTGAACATTTTTGTAGAAGCGTCATTTAAATAAAACATTGACGGTGGTTGATATGCGAAATGTCAAACGATTTTGGCAGATGATGTTCAATTTCGTTTAATAGGATGTTTTACGTAAATAATATTTAATTATGATTAAATTGTAGTAAGTAGTTTTGTTCGTAGTTTTATTTATATACAAAAACGTTAGTAAACTAGCCGCAAGTGTTACTAGAAACTAAATATCAACTTGAAATGTTAATATGAAAATGCACTTTTTGGCACATTTTTCTCAAACACGGTGCTCTGAAAGATCTCATTTGTATAATTATATACTCATTGGTATTTATAAAACATTTTCAACATGCAAAACCTAAATTTGGTATTGATCAAAGGGACATTTTGTCGAATAACATTTTCCCAGTTATAATTTCGCAGAATTTATCTAAGAATAGATAGTAATATATGAAGGGCGGGGTTAAAAAGGCCAACCAGCAATGTGTCAAAAACCAATAAGGTTAAGCATTGTTTAACAAGGAATTGAAAAGTAGATTCTTATGACTTTGCTATCTGGAGATAAACGGTAATCTTTGAAAATCCATAATAAAAGTATTTTCTTCTGTTAGTAGTTTTTTAGCATTAGTTAATGTAATTATTTTTAAAAATACTTTTAAAATTAAAATAAGACATTAAACCTGTTTGCAACCTGGCCGTTCCAAGTTACCCTGTTGATGGGGTAAAAAGGTCTAGATAACAAATTTTTTAAAGACATCAAAAAGCAGGTCAAAAAAGAAATACTTAATTCATTTTCTATCTCTCCTCGCAGAAATTTGAAACTTTTTATAAGCTCAGTAGTATTATTTACTATTATACACAAAATCCAGAATCCAAAAAGAATCTGAAAAACTTGAAACGTAATCAATAAGTCGAAAGACCAAAAAAGACTTGGATGGATTATACTATGTTTTTTATAGAAAGTGTATAAATCTTCCAGTTTGATTGTACTGACAAAATATAGACAAACTAATGGGGTTTATTGCTTTTATAATACTTCATTGTATATAGCATTCAAGTAACACATCCTTATACACTTAAAATATTATTTTTTTTGATTCCCTAGAAATTGTTTAGAATATCTTACTTAGCAAAACAACGTTTTCCGGGTCAGCCAGTATATATATATATATATATATATATATATATATATATATATATATATATCAGAGCCTAAATAAATCACAATTACCTTCTTGTAACAATCTCTGCATGAGTATCATTCACCACAAATCCACAAGTGCTGATATGAGCTCCAGATACACATTTTGTACCAGTTGCGACTGCAATTAACTCACAATTTTCCATGTCTTGATCTCGAGTCAAAACAATACCTACATTTGCAAATACATATTTCAATTTAATGCAATGTTTTAAAAAATTGCTTTAAATAAGCAACAAACCTGCCAAAACTTTTCGTCGCGAATGCAAAATATCATTCATCATCAACTGAGCAAATCGATCTGTAACTAATCTA